AGATGCCTGGAATATTTAACAGTGGGCTCCTAGGAGCTGGTGACAGCCTACCCCAGCACGCCACTGCAGAGTTCCCCTTACACGGATGAACAGACCAAGGCTCCAAGACATCAATGTACACGCTGTGAGGCCACATGATTAACAGCGAACCCTGAATTTGAACTTGGATCCTCTACAAAAAGGCCGTTGTTCGCGTGCACGACTCTATTTGTACTTACCATCCTAGGGAAGGAAAAAAGAAAGCATCACTACCTGACACATGGGTCAGACCACTTTCTTGACAAGTGGAGTGTTCTTTAAATTTGATATTCCCCCCTGCCACCCCTGATTTAGACACTAATGGGGGCTCTTCATCTGCTGGATGGACTGAATTGGAGGGTCCTCGATCAGTGAGCAAAGAAATGGGAAGAAGGGAATAAGAAAAAGGTAGAATGGGAGAAGAAGCAGAGATGTCAGCTCAGGTGGAAAGTAAACGGAGTAAGAGAAAAACATTCCTGGTGCCCACAACTGTGGGCGTGACCTGCTCCGTCTTCGCGGATTCCTAGCCTTATGCAAAGAGCACTGCGTGTTCCTCCTGGAGGGTGGACATTTTCAGTCCATGTAGCTTGGCTGGAGCTGGCTGCAGCCCCTGGCTTGTGGCCTAGGTCTGACAAAAGGGCGTGTGAGACAGCCCTGGGCACCGGGATGCCCCATGCACCTGCAGCCAATCCACTCAAATCCAGCCTGTTGGAGGGAATTCTGGGATGTGGCTAGAATGACAAGAAATGGGCTATGTCTGGAAGTCCTTTGCTTGAATAGTACCCCCTGGCCGGGACTTGTGCCCCCCCCCGCCAGCCCCCCACTTAGGGTCTAACCCACCTGAAAGAAACTAGGATTTGGGGTAATGTGAAAGTGATTTCATGAGCATGACTCTTGGTATTTCTTACAGATTTGTCAGTTGATTTGTCAACATTTCAGTTCAGAACATTCCCTGGGTAGGAGCTGCTTGGGTTCGGCCAGGAACAAAAATAAATACAGCCCCTAGATGGGCTGGAACGGCAGACAGATGAAGTTACAGGATCTCTAAAAACGGAGTCAACTTTAGTCCACTTCTAAGGCAGTGGAACAGAAGGCTTTTAAACCTCCTGAATCAATTATATGTCAACGAAAGTATTTACCCGGCTTCCTATGAATGCCTCTCACTAGCCCTCTTGGGATCTACCCTCTGACACCCTCCGATATTGTAAACCGACTTGTTCCGAGGACTGGGAGGACCTTTGGTTCTCAGAGCATGCCTGACTTGAATTGTCTGCCAGCAGCTCAGACTCCTGGTAGCAGGGATTAACTAATGTTTGCTAACTAGCTCCTTTCGTACTCTCAACCACCCGATGGATCGGGTCCTATTATTATCATCCCCACTTCACAGATGAGGAACGCGAGGCACAGCGGAGTTAAAGTAACTTCCCAAATTCAAACAGCTAGACGGGGGCTTTGAACGCCAGGCACTCCGGCTCCAGAGTCTGGTCTCTCAGGGTCTGTGCGAGGCAGTAAGTCAAGACTCAGGGCCAAGGTGAGGGAGGGAGGATCTGGTCCAGTGTCCGCCTGGGGCTCTCGAGTGGCTGCTCAGACCACCTAAGTGACTCAGGTCCGGTCCTTCCATCCTCCCAAAGTCTTGTGTTCTCTAAGGGAGAATCCCCAACCATAGTGCCCTGGTCTGAGTAGAATTACCCTTGAGTTCCATCCTCCATCCTGTGAAGACACCGAGCCTCTGTCTTGGTCCTGGACCACAGCCTGTATGTCTGCGTCCAATCGGAGGCCTTTCTTTGCAGGAAATGTGTGACCACAGAAACCTTCGGGACAACGGCCCCCAAGGCTCTATTGTGACCTCATTGTGATGTCATACCAAGTGATGTGGGTGTCACTTTGGAGGTATTTGGGGACCACAAAGGGCCATGAAGATGAACTTTGATCTACGGCATCGTAACATATAGCCATAGGTAGGGAGGACATTCCAGAATTCACCTATAGAAAGCCAGATCTGTTGGCTTTGGTAAGCCCAAGGGACCTCGGGCATCCCCGAGGAATACCTGGGAGGGCAGATGTAGCCACCAGGGTCCATGTGTCATTGCCTCTTACTAAACCTCCAAGTCTGGCGCCCAGGGAAGATGCTCCAGCCCGTGGTGCATTATGGACAACACCACTAACACTTGGGACCCGCTCATGGTATCCAAGGGTATCCCCAAAGTTGAGACCTTCTAGGGGAGAAGCCAAGGGGGTAAACATCGGAGTCACCACCCAATCCCTTAGAGGACCAAGGAAGGGAGGCTGAGCTTAGAAGGGCATGGGAGCCAAAGACGACAAATGAGCACCAACACAGGAGAAAGAACCGGAAATAGCAGCAGAATGCCTAAACTCCCATAGCCCAAGAGGTCACGTGTGTTGCATGTTGCCTGAGATTTGTGAACTCACACTTGAGAACGTGGACGTCTTTTGAAATCCGAGCACACGGGTCTACTGGCCTCCATATCGCCCTCCGGGGCCAAGTGGCTGGGTCCTCCTGCTTCATCATCTCAGCTTTTCCTATCTCAGAACTGTGGTTCAAAGCAGTCTTCCTCAGGGCACCTGGGTGGCTCAGTCGGTGAAAGTATCTATTGATTTTGGCTCAGGTCATGATCTCAGGGTCATGGGATCAAGCCCCATGTCAGGCTCCACGCTCAGCAGAGAGTCTGCTTGATATTCTCTCTCCCCTCTGCCCCTCCCCCTGCTCACACACTCTCTCCCCCAAAATAAATAAAACCTTAAAAAAAAAAAGGTAGTCTTTCTCACTAGGGAAAAAAGGGACTTCATCTTCCTTCTTAAGGAAAAAAATAAAAGTAGCAGAGACATACCAATGAGTCACGCAATATGTATGAAGGAAAACTTAATTTTTGGAGTCGGATGTCTTCTACAAATGGTTCCCATCAGAGAGGAAATATTTCTAGAAAACAGACCGAGTACAGACCCAGGGTTGGGCGTGGCAGCTTCCCAGTAAGAAGTGACAGGATATTTGTCAGAACAGCTACCGAGGATCGAATAAAGCTTGAGGAAACGGGACAGTCGACCACCGGGGCGTGGGGACAGATTCAGACTCTCGGGCCTCGTAAGTACGAGCCCTCCAGACAGAGAGACCTGAGGGGACTCCTGTTTCTTTAGAAAAGAGCAAAGTCATTTTATTTAAGATGTCAGAAACAACTCAAGTCACTACTTTGATATCGACAGCAAGGAGCCAAGCCAACATAGCAGGAAACGAACAAGATCACTGGTTGGGGTGCCTGGCTGGCCCAGGCAAACTGTTGATCTCAGGGTTGTTGAGTTCGAGTCTCACGCTGGGTGCAGAGATGACTTAAAAATAAAATCTTTCGGAAAAAAAAAAAAAGATCGGTCATTAAACGTGAATAACTCAGACAGCCATTTGCATGGTTCACCAATGGGCTTTTATTAAAATTGTACATAGATCTCAGACTTAATTTTTTTTAAAAAGAATTTCCTCTATGCCTAAGTATCAAAATAGTTCTCTTTTTTAAATACCTTGAAAAACAGTAACATAATTATTTTGCTATATATTAAATATCTTCCTACACTCTCAATCATTTCTGTTCCATCTCTCCTAGAATCCTACTTGAAGGTCACTACCATGTTTTTTTGGCATCTTGAAGGCTTTATCCCAGAGAAGCATTAGAGATTTGAGAAAGGTAAGCAATGGCAAGAACTGATTTGATGTCGAAGACTCTTATTTCCGAGGCTTCCCTGCAGAGTTATATGCTGTCAGGCTGGGCCGCATCCGAATCTCTCTCGAGTGTAGGTACTCAGGCTGAGGAATTTAGGGAAATAAATCCGTTCTTGCCCTGAAAGGGTAATGTTGACTCAACAGCACCATCTTGTGGCCAACACGTATAAAAGCACCCAAAGGTACACGAAGGTATTCGGACATGCTGTGTTGAAGATCTAGAGGTGGGGACCAAAAACAAAAATTTTTTTTTTTTTTTATTTTCAGGGTCACAAGACAACTGGCTTCTAGAAAGCCCACGCTCGACACAACACAAGCTTCTTCCAGCTGCCCCGTCTCGAGGATCACCAGCCTCGCGCGGGACTTGAACACACACCATCAGAAACTGGACTCGGGTAACGTTTTCTTCCGGCTTAAGGAAAGAGTGTGGTATTTCACCTTCTGCAAGGTGCCAAAAGGAGTGTGGTCCCCGGGAACCGTCCTCTGTGGCGGGCCCAGGGCACCGGCCCTCGTGGGCCTGCCGGCTTTGCGAGGGAGGCGGAGAGAGCTGGGGGCTGACCAGACGTCCCTCTCCTGGAGGTTGGCGGGGGCCCTGGCCAGGCTCTCTCGGATCTGGAAGGAAGGAGAGGAGCCTCGGGCGTGCTCATCCATAGCCGGGCTCAGCCTGCCGCTCACCAGGGACCCTGGGGACGCCCGGAGGGCCACCTCCGCCTTGTCATGCTTGGTCTCCTTCTTCCAAAACACAGATCTCAGAAGGGTGAGGGTCCCCTGTGGGAATCTGTCTGTCTCAGGGTCTCTGGCCTCCACACTGGCCCTCATCCTGGCTAAGGTATTCTGGCACTTGTCTGCGCTGTTTCTAGATAATGCCGTGGCGCCCAGAGGCTCCTTGGCCGGGGAGGGTGCCCTGCTGCAGCTCCCTGCCAGGCCGCTTCCCTCGCAGTTCGCGGTCTTCTGGCCCTCAGGCCGAGCTCGTCTGTCAGTCCCTGCTGAGGGCATCACGGCGAGGGGCAGGTCAAACTGTTTGGGGAGCCTGATCTCCTGACTTGCATGCTCCTTGGCTTTCCTTGCTGCGTTTAGACCATCTGGGACTCCAGGGGCGGCACAGTGGCTGGGGTGGCCCGAGGGGCAGGGCACTCTGGCCAGCGCTCTCTCGGTGGCTTGCCCACCACCTTCCCCCTTAGCAGAGCCAGTGGCATCTGACTCCACGTCCTCGCCAGCAGCGCCCGTCAACAGCGGCACGATGGACTGGCTCGTGGATCTGGGTCTCCGCCTGGATTCCAAATACTCCACCAGTTCGACAGACGCACCCACTGGTTTCTCCCGGGGTCTGAAAGACCATCGGAGGGGCATGGTCTTGAAGGCCCCCTGCTTGGCTCTGGAAGGGGTCGGCTCCTTCATGCTGATGCTTCGGCCTCGTACGCCCCGTACCAGAGGCCTGGACTCCAACCCTCCTGAAAGAGACACCAAGAGCATCAGTGCCCAAGTATCCCTCCAGGTGCAATGAGGGACTACAGTGATGCCTGTCATCTAGCAGACATTGATCAAGCATCCCTGATGCATCAGGCAGTACCATGCTGGGCGTCGATGACACAGCAGTGAGCAGGACCCTGAGGTTCTAGCGCTCGGTGCATCGATGTGTGCACCCTCTGTCCCACGGAATCCATTTACATATTCAAAGCCACAGGGCAAGCCAGTGTCAAAAAAGGGAGCTACATGCCCGGACAGCACAGGCTGCTGAGAAAGCCCGGTCTCAGAGGCATCTCGCCCTAAGGCGGAGCATCATTTTCATTTATATTTAAATATTTGCATGAAGCAGAATGCTCAGCAAAAGCCCCTCCTTTTCCGGGTCAAATTAGGTGCTTCTATCTTTCAAACCCAAGAATCTCAGATATCCTACCCTGGGCTAAAAAATAAATAAATCGTGCATTTAATTTTATCAGATCTGTGCCATTTATGTCTCCACTGTGTTTCGCGACACCTGCCTATGGTTGGAAAGACATTTCTGACATGTAATGTGAAATGAGAGACTCTAGAAAAACAGTGTAATCCCACCTGCAAAAATATATACACGTGGGTGTGTGATGCATGCATGTGAAGACGTACAAACAAGTATGGAGCAATAAATACTAAAGTGACAAGACGTCGAGGGGGCCACGGGATGCTGTGTGTGACTGATTTTCTTCTTAATTCTTTCCTAAATCTTAACGTTTCTAAAGGGCATACACACATAACACGGCTGTGTATTTCTTCTTAAGACACAGCCATGAAAACAATTCCATTTATGACGGCATCAAAAAGGATAAAATACTTAGGAATTAACTGAGGAGGTGAAAGACTTGTTTAACACTACAAACATTAATAAGAATGAAATTAAAGATGACAGAAATGGAAAGACATCCCATGTTCATGGATTGGAAGGCTTAATATTGCTAAAATGACATTACCCAAAGCGATCGATCTACAGCTTCAGCGCAATCCCTATCAAAATCCCAATGGGGATTTTTTTGCAGAGATAGAAAAATCCATCCTAAAATTCATATGGAATCTCAAGCGACCTCCACAGCCAGTCACAAAAAGACAAATATGGCAGGATTCCCCTGCATGCATGAAGAGCTCAGAGTGGTCAAAACCAGAGGCAGAAGTATACAGGTGGTGGCCAGGGGCTCGGGGAAGGGGAGAGCATGGTGTTATTGTGAAATGGGCAGAGCCTTTCAGATTTACAAGATGAAAAGAGTTACAGGGATGGATGGTGGCAATGACCGGGCATGACACCACTGAAACGTGCACTTAAAAATGGTCAAAATGGGGCGCCTGGGTTGCTCAGTCGTTAAGCGGCTGCCTTCGGCTCAGGTCATGATGCCAGGGTCCTGGGATTGAACCCCGCATCGGGCTGCCTGCTCGGCAGGAAGCCTGCTTCTCCCTCTGCCGCTCGCCCTGCTTGTGCACTCTTTCTCTGACAAATAAATAAATAAATAAAATCTTAAAAAAAAAACGGTCAAAATTATAAACTTCGTTATGTGTTTTTAACATAATAAAAGCAAAAAAGAAAAGCAACTCACAGTCATCAGTCACTGTACCATTATACTGCCTTGATGTGTAAGATGCCTATCATTGCGGAGGGAAAAAAAACCCTTTCCCCCTCGAACCACACAGTGCAAGGACAGTCCCGTGCATTTAGACGAAGACCCGATGTCAGCCACACAGCCTTTTGTCCACAGACAACACTCTCATTGGTGAGTATGAGAACAACCCTCCTCCTCCTCCATAAAACACCTGTCAGCAGCAGAGCCAACTGGGATGAGCTAGATGCAGAGGGACCTGGGGCTCTCAGGGGACGGGCGACAGCTCGGGGCGTGCCGGCCGGGGAAGTGGGGTGCACCATCAGCCAGCCTCCCGGGGAAGAGGTGACTGGAAGGCAGTGGCCAATGCCCACCGGTGCCCCGAGGGGTCTGACAACATCTCAGAGGTTCCTGGGGACTTTTACCTGCCCCGGATCATTCTGGCGGTTTTTAATCATTTTTTTTTCACTACTTGGTACTGTTGTCCTTAAAGCATTTCCTTAGATCAGTCAGCAAGAGATACAACGTCACCCAAAATATTTTGCAGCTTCACTTTCAATGGGCCCTGTCTGGGGTCTCAGACACACACACACGGCGTAGGTTTTTTTTCCCCTCTCGTCCGCAACCCTGGGCAGGGCAGAAAGCAAAGCTTTTATTCAGAGGACAAAGCTGTGACTTTCAGCTTTCCAGAACGAGAGGGCACAGCCTGCAGCCTGGCAGGTGGGTTGGCAGCGCGTCCCCTCTTCCCGGATGAAAGGCCCGGGGCCTGGCCCACATCACCCCCGCAGCTCCCTTGCACGGGGACTGCAGATGCCCACGCAAGCCCTTCCTCCCCTTTCTCCTGACGGCAGCGGGGGGAGGCAAGGTGGGCATGGTGCATGGACAGAAGGGACGAGAAAGAGCCCGCACTGAAGCTGTGCTTTCTGCTCACAGAGCTCTCCCTTCTGGGGGAGGGGAGGGTGCTCCCCCTGATTCCTCCCGGGGCGGTGGATAGGGGGGTGGTCCTGAAGGCTGGGAGCCAGAAGCAGAGGTGGCCTTCAGAGATGCCCGAGCGAGGGTTACTTCCCGCCCTGGAATCGGTGGCCTTGCTCACGCTCAGTCGGCTTGAGAAGCGGGAAGCGCCTAGAGCCTTAAGCCCCACGGAGGACGTAAGTAGTTCAGGTCTTCCTAGAGGTTATATAAGCCCCAGAGCCTGCATGATGGGCTTCCCAGGTCCTGCAAGGCCTCCTAACACAGACGGCAGCCGGACAGCTTGGGGGCACGGCCCCCACCCACAGCCCCACCCACACCGTGGCTCTGGAAATGGCAGATGCTACCCTGAGAAATGTCCCATCTGTTCCTCCGTGACTTTGTATCCTCGGCTAATGAAATCAGGCGTCACTCTGACCTCACGATGTGTGCTGTGAGCAGGGGCAGCCCCACCGCCCCCGCCCCCGGCCATCCTTAGTCTGCCTGGAACAGGACCAGTCACCTGGTCCACTGGTCTCAGTCTGGCCAAGGGTTTTCACTGTGCCTCTTACAGCCACCCACGGACGCATTCAAGGGACACGCAATGAGAGCCTGCTGGGTGCCAAGGACAGTTTTCGGTTCTGGGGATACAGCTGTGGAAAAAACACCAAGTGCCTGTCTCCGTGGGGGTTTGCAGAAAGCAGCAATATTTGCTACCGTGGAAGGTAGTGCTGAGAGCTATGACAAAGAATGAGGGGGTACAGCGGGGTCAGCGACTGAGGAGTGAGGACAGACCTGAGTGAAAGGGAGGAGGAAGCCATGTGGAGATTGGGGGGGAAACCAGCCTGCCTGCCAGCAGCGGGAGCAGCATGTGCAAAGGCCCTGTGGCACTAGTGAGCCCGGTGGGTCAGGGCAGCAGCGAAGAGACCACCATGGCTGTACCCAAGGGAGAAAAGGCTCCCCGCTAGGGGTCTCCATCTTCTGAGCCCCCATCTATATTTGGAGACATCTCTGTCTCTAGGTGCAGAGGACAACCTGGGGCAAGCCGTCCTCTGGTCCCCTAGAGGGTAAGGACAAGCTACATGGCTGAGCCAAGCCTTGTCTGCCTCCGAGGCCAAGCCAGCAGCATAAGGCTGGTGAAGGGGAAAGGGCTGCCTCAGGGGTCAAGGCCCCAGCCCCTTCCATCACTCCAAGAATCGCCTCCACTCAGGAGGGTGTGGAGGGGAAGCCCCAATGGGCAGAAAAAGAAAAAAACAACACACAGAAGGGGGTCTGGGAGTCAGAGAGTAAGAACCAACAGAACCATCAGAACGGGGCCCTAATGAAACAGAGCCACTGGAAGGAACAGACAAAAAGAGAAGCTCGGGGCACCTGGGTGGCTCAGTCGTTAAGCATCTGCCTTCGGTTCAGGTCATGGTCCCACGGTCCTGGGATCGAGTCCCACATCGGGCTCCCTGCTCAGCGGGGAGTCTGCTTCTCCCTCTCCCACTCCCCCTGCTTGTGTTCCCTCTCTCGCTGTCTCTCTCTGTCAAATAAATAAATAAAATCTTAAAAAAAAAAAAAAGAGAGAGAGGCTCTTGGGGAGATTCAAGTATAGAACAAAAGAGGGCTGAAACAATTTCTAGGTTTTACGATGCAGTAAATGCATGGAAGGGGCAAAGGGTCACTGTTGAGACTCAACTCAGTGGCCAAAAATATAAAGGGAAAGCAGCATCTCACGCCTTAGAGCAAAATGACAAAGAGAAATCACAGGGAAAAGCTAGAAGATCCGGAGAATGGATCCAGGGGACCGGCCAGGCAAATAACAGAGGAGTTTGAAAAGTCAGACAATAATTAAACAAACAAAAGAACAATTTCCCTAAAGAAAAGCCTGTGTCTGCAGACGGACAGGCTCTGGGGGTTCTAGGTAGTGTATGAACAGAAACGCAGACCTAGGCATATACTGGTGGAATTCCTAAATTCCAAGGTCAACGACAGAATCTCAAAGGCTTCCAGCCAGAAAGAACAAGTGATTCTCACGTAGAGGAAAGGGAAAAAAAAAAAAGGGCTGCTCACCTGCAAGCCTGGGGCCCGGCGGACCGTGGGAAAACATCTAGAGACACTGGAGAGGGAAGAATTCGAATCCAGGAGTCCTCCAGCGAGCCAAGCTGCGACTCATGCCCCGGCCACAAAAAATATTTGTGCCTCCACAGAAGAAGGAGTGTCACCCATCCCTGGAAAGAACTCTGACCGAACACTAAAGATTCAGGACCCAGACCTCACGACAGAGGAGGAGAGAAAGAAGACAGATGCGGTGGCCCAGCAGAGCCTGCCACCCATGTACCACGCACCCGCCTCGGGGGCAGATGGTCTCAGGATGGGGAATACAAAGTGATGTTAGCGTGTGTGGGATCCGCAAAGGTACAGTGCTCACAGCCTGAAACCGAGGGCTGAAGCGTCTCAGA